CAAATCCAAGCTCGTGAGCCCCGTCAGCGCCCCAACCGACTCTGGCAGGCTCTGCAGCGCGGCACAATCCCAGAGGTCTAGGCTTTTGAGCCTCGTCAGCGCGCCGAGTGACTCCGGCAGTCTATCCAGCGCCGCACACTCCGAAATGTCCAGATGCGCAAGCCCGGTCAGCACCCCGGACGACTCCGGCATGCTCGTCGGCGCACTGCAGTAGCTCAGGTCCAGGCTAGCAAGCCTGGTCAGCGCCCCGATCGACTCTGGCAGGCTATGCAGCGCCCTGCACCAGCTCAGGTTCAGGCTCTTGAGCCCTGTCAGCCCCCCAACCGACCCCGGCAGACTGTCAAGCCGCTTACAGATGCCCAGGTCTAGAGCCGTGAGGCCTGTCAGTGCCCCCATTGACTGAGGCAAATCGTCCAGCGCCTTGCACTCACTCAAGTCCAGGCTTGTGAGCCCCGTGATTGCGCCAAGAGACTGCGGCAGCCGTGCCAGGGCCAAGCACCCGCTCAGGCCCAGCTTTGTGAGCCCCGTCAGCGCACCAACCCTCTCCGGCAAGCACCTCGAATACAAAGAGCACAAAATCAAGACACGAAGTTGCTTTGTCTGGAGCAAAAACGAAAGTAAAGCACTGCACATCAAGGGAAGGGAAGTTGGACGATGCTGGTATCGGCCTTTGCAACGTTGCGACATTCCTAGATGTGTGGAAGGATGGACATAACGATGAAGAATCCGAAAACGAAGACATGTTTGCGGCAGACCATCTACCAATTCGGAAATCTTGCAACGGGAGCGCTTAAGTTTAGGGAAGCACACTCTTGGATGATGAGCTCTAATCAGCGCTTGCTCGTGTTTTACAATAATACTCCCCATACTTGTTGGTCATTTCCGTAGTGCATTGTGCTCTGTAAGAAGCGTTGCTCTCAGTGAATTGCTGCCTATTGTATCTGCTCGTTTTTTAGTACAGGATCCTGAGCTTATTCAAGGTCAACTTCGGGATATGTCATTGTAGATTGGCATAGTAATTGCTGCTGCGCAAGGAATGGTTTTGGAAACTATCATTGACTTGTCTTGTTCTCCCAACATGCAATCTGGACGGTCCCCCTCTGCTCGGCCATAGAGCCTTGGCCTCCTCGCTGCCGTACGCAACACTGAGAGTATTGCCCATGGCTTTTCGACAAGATCCAGCGTGCATCGGAGAATCATCGCCTTCAGCAAACCAGAAGCCGGAACTGGAGCAAACCGACACTGCTGAGCTTGCTGTGCTTCGCCAGCTGCTTAGAGCCAAGTCCGACGAGCTCAGGCAAGCAGAGACCAGGGAGAGGGCCGCACAGGAAAAATTGGCAGAGGAGACCACGGCGCGAAAGGAGGCGAAGGCCCAAGCTGGGAAGAAGAAGCATGCCCGGCAGCTTGTAGAGGCAGAGGCCGGAGCTGCAAAGGAGAGGTTGGCAGCGGTGGCCAGGGAAAGAAAGGTGCGAGAGGTCCAAGACCGTGCAGAGGTGGCAACCCCACTGTCGGTAGCGGTTGAGCAGGCCTCCCTGCTGGAGGCGAGCCGCAGCGCCCAAGCTCGGCTCTTGGAGGCCCTTAGGGAGGCAGAGTTCTCTGCGCGGTCCCGGGACGAATTCTTGGCAGTGATGAAACACGAAATCCGGACTCCCCTCCACGCAATCATAGCCCTCCTCTCCCTTCTCAACCAATCCGAACTCACGGAGGACCAACAGAGCATGGAGCATACGGTCTCCAAGAGCACGACTCTGCTGCGCACCCTCATCAACGACGTCCTCGACTTCTCACGTCTGGAAGGCGACAGTCTGGCACTGGACCCGCATCCCTTCCACCTTCCCTCCCTGTTTGAGCAGCTTGAGGCCTTGGCCGGCTCCATGGCTCAAGTGAAGGGCGTGCACCTCTGGATAGACGAGGGGATCCCGGCTTACGTGTCAGAAGACGACCAGAGGATTCTGCAGGTGCTCCTAAACTTGGTCGCGAACTCGATCAAGTTCACGGAGCCCGGGGGGCGAATCACCGTCAAGGCTTCAAGGGTAGAGGGCGGGAGCTCCCCGAAATATTTGGCCTTGAAGGTGACCGTCACCGACACCCGGATGGGGATCCGTCCGGAGGACCTGGATGGCAAACTCTTCCAAAAGTTCGTGCAGGCGGACACCAGCATCTCCAGGAAGTATGGAGGCACCGGCCTCGGCCTGGCTATCTGCAAGAGGCTGGCCGAGATGATGCAGGGACGCATCTGGCTGGAGAGCGACGGCGTCGGGCGGGGCTGCACCGCTAGTCTCGTCTTACGGCTCCAGCATGCAAGGGCATCAAGGGGTTTCAAGTCCCCCCTCCTTGAATCGAACGCCTTGAAGGGGCTCCAGGCCCTGGTGACGGACAAAAATGCGATCAACAGGCTCGTCACCTCGCGTCTTCTCACCAGCCTGGGCTGCGAGGTGGCCGTCGCCAAAGGTGGCCGCAGTTGCCTCGAGCAGCTTGCCCTCCAGAGGTTCGAGCTCGTCCTGCTGGACCTCTCCATGCCCGACATGGACGGCTTCAAGTTTTCGAGAGCCAAACCGAGTTCTCGTACAAGGCAGCTGAAAATTTCACCGCTGTCAGCCTTCGAGCGCGTTCTACCATAACATCAAATTCATTTATAAGGGAGCATCCAGGCGCAAATCTATCGTTGTGCTTCATCGTCACTAGTCCCCAATTGCTCTCCAGCGTTTCGTCCGTCTCCTGCAGCATCCTTTCCTGCTTTTTGGAATTCGGTAACCGCTTGGTTGTCAGCCGAATTGATATCAACGGTTCAGATCGTGTAGAACCCGAAGTTAGTTAAATCGATGGCCACTGCATACAGTACCGAGTATGAGAAGTGCCCCAGACTTAGTGACTCAGTGACTCGGGACTGGAGACTCGAAAGACTAATCAGATTTGATAGGCTGCCTTAGTATCGGAAAGTGAAGAACGTTTGACAGTGTGATATCATTCTAAGAGGAAGCGTTTAGAAGAGAAAGGCGCTCTGCTATCAGGGGTGCTCAGGCTCCGGGTCATGTCAGAATGTTTCAGTAAAGTGGTCGGGCATGTGAAGCCCGCGGTGAATATACCCCAACATGCTGTGCAATGAGACATGATTCTTAACACTGCTCCTGATACTCATTGCAAATGAGTGCCAAGTGCTCTCGTGGGGATGGTGTCTGCAAGATAGTATCACCAACTGAACCGTCCTCTACAGAATTTTGGTTTGCTGTTCACCTGGAAGTCAACTAAAATCAGATCTGGAGGTCGAAGGAACCTGGAAGTCTACGACGCGACTCTTCATATCCCAATTGTATGATCGAATACTTTCCGACAATTCGACCCGAACGCCGTACCGTTATACGACGACTCGGACTATTCGCCGACCCTACAAGGGCGCTGCGTAAGGGCTTGACGTTCGCTTGTCCAAGGCCCGTTTGCATCGAACGCTGCAAATACTCTACGAACTATCCGGTAGCTTTTGCAAGGCATGTTTACACGGACTCTCCTAGGCTGTCCGCATATCTCCCCGCCAACGATCGCGCAACTCCGCTGCTCGCGGTCTGCCTATACAGGCGCATCGCCCATTCGAAGTCGCTCACGACCCCAGACCGTGACTCCGAGCAATAAGCTTTCGCCATCGAATCGCCTCCGTCCGCAGCCAGCTGAAATAGCCGCATCGCTTCCGGAGCGCTCCGACTCACTGCAACCCCGTAATAATAACACAGCCCTAGATTTGCTAAGCCGCATGGGTCACCCGCCCCGGCCGCAGACTGATATAGTGCCCATCCTCGGTCGACGTCTTTCTCTACGCCCAGCCCCATCATGTAGCAGTCCCCGAGCTTCGCCTGCGCGCGGGGGCATCCATGCTCGCCCGCCTGCCGATACCATTCTGCCGCTCTAGTTGAATCCGTTTCTACTCCTTTCCCCTCGGCGTAGCAGTCGCCCAATTGGACCATCCCACCTGGGTGCCCCCGTTTGGCGGCTTGCACGAAGCACTCTGTGGCACGCACCATGCACTGGGCAACTCCTGCGCCCCCTGAGAAACACCACCCAAGCCCCACCAGCCCCTCGGCGTTTCCTTGCTCCGCCGCGAGGCGGAAAAGCTCTGCGGTTCTCTCTGGATTCTTCTCGACACCAAGTCCGTCCCGGAAGCACGCCCCTAGCACCACCTGACCCACGGCGTCCCCTCTCTGGGCCGCAGACTCGAGCAATCGGATTGCAAGGGCCTGGTTGCGTTCCAAGCCCCAGCCGTTCAAGTAACACTCCCCCAGGCTGGCTTGTCCGGAAGAACTTCCTGATTCGGCCGCACGCCTGAATAGTGAAACGGCACGCGTCGCGTCTCGCTCCACGCCCAGACCCTCGAAAATGCAGTAACCCAAATTGACAAGCCCAGTCGTACAGCCCCGCTCCGCTGCGCGTCCATAGAAACCCACTGCGCGCTCGTGATCGCGTTCGACCCCTAGCCCGTATTGATAACAGATTCCCAGGGATAAGAGAGCGACCGGGTGGTCTTGCTCCGCTGCTTGGGAATACAACTCAACTGCTCGCATGACGTTCTGCGGGACTCCCTCCCCCCTCTGAAAGCAGAGCCCGAGACAGACCTACACAAGTTCATTGACAAAACTTAAGGAGGTAGGAGCATCCAAAGTTCCCTGCCAAACGCGTTTCCCAACCCAAAGGCTCTGCTAAGCCTGTTATTTGCAGATTTGTTGTACTACCAATGTGAAGCATTCTTTCTTGAATCGCAGTTAAACTACACAACGCGGCAACCCCATGCCACCAAACGAAAGCATTTTTGAAAGCCTCCACATTGCTTGAATGAGGGAACTCAAAAATTGGATCGTCAAGGTTGTCTATAAGAGGGAGCAGATACGCGTCTCTGGAGATGATGAAGAGTGTCTGTTACCTGAATAACTCAATTTAGGGACATTCCTGTCTTCCAAGACGATTCGAAAGTGCTGTCCTGGTCTGCAAGGTTGCTTTCAAACTTCTGCATCCAAATCTAGTGGTCCTGTGTTATCAAGTTGGACATATCGACTTAGCATAATGAAAAGGAAATCTTGTTAGCTCAAAAGCAAAACCTGGCAAACAAAGTGCGACCAGCTAGAAAAGAAAATCTGTTAGCAAAAATTTCCGCAGGCTCACACTGGATGAAGAGTCTTTTGCCAATCTAGCAAAATTTTCAAAAAAAGAGCATGGAAATCGGATTCTTTATCCATTGAGAATCTTGCAGGTTTACTCATGCCAATGCTCTTGCCTGTGCAGTTGGATGCCCCTGCGCTGCCGCTGAGGCATACAGCATTGCTGCACGTGTGGGGTCTCTCTCGACGGCCACCCCCTGGTAGAAGCAAACCCCAAGTCTTAATTGCGCGTCTGAAAGCCCTCGCTCTGCTGCCTGCCTATACAATTCTATTGCCGTCCCTATGTTTTTTTCGATCCCCACACCGCCAAAATAACACGACCCTAGTTTGAAGAGGCCCGAGGGATGACCCTTCCCAGCTGCCTCCTTAAAATATAATGCCGCCTTGGGGGGGTCTTTCTCGCAGCCCCACCCTTGCAGGATACATTCCCCCAGGTTGACGAGCCCCCCCAGATGGCCTCCTTTTGCAGCGGCTTCATATAGCGCCACCGCTCGCGGTAGGTCTTTGGGGATTCCCAGGCCCGTCTGATAGCAGAGGCCGAGACTGAACTGCATGGATGAAGTTAGTCTTAATCAGACCTTGATCTCAATTATCAAATTAGTCCAAGCTTTGCAGGGGTATGAATTATCTTACGTCAAGGCCCCACTGCTAGATGGGTGATTCTCAAGCCATCGGTGTGCTGCCTTCCCTCCAGCAATTTTCATACTGTGAATAGGACTGACAATGCCTCTGTGAGTTGCTATCTCCGAGCTCCAACCTCCAGCTTGACCCAATGAAGCCAGTAGCCAAATATAGCAAAGAAGTAGGAAGAGCATTGTTGGAAGGCACTTGTCAATAATCCCGCTTTGACAGTCCACCATTTTTGCTTTTTTGCACATCTTAGATAGATCAATGTGCTTCCTGATGCTTTCCCCTGCTGAAACAGGTCAAAGGCATTTCGTTTGCTCGACACCACGGACATTTGGAGCCGGCAATGTCGCTCAATCAGCAAGCATTATTTTGGGAAGTTGTCAAGGTCCCACCCACCCAGCAGAGCCACACCAACCTACAGAAGCCACAAGAAGGCCCTGACTAAGCACTCAATTCAACCCTCACCTGCGCTGTTGGACTTCCCTTCTGAGCTCCGGCATGATAGAGGAATAGGGCCTTTTGAATGTTGCGCTGCACGCCCCGCCCTTGCTGGTAGCAGAAGCCGAGGAATGCCTCTGCTGACGGGACCCCCTGGTCGACCGCACGCTGTAACAGCTGAACTGCACGAGCCTCATCCTTCGCCACGCCAGTCCCATAGAAGTAGCATGCCGCAAGCGCCTCTAGCCCCGTTGCATCCCCCTTGCCTGCTGAGCTCTCAAACAGCCTTACAGCCTTGCCGACGTCCTGCCCGGTGCCCGTACCGCTCTGGTAGCAGCACCCCAGGCTCACTTCGGCAGGAGAAAATCCTTGCTGGGCGGCCTTGTCAAACAGTAGCACTGCTGCTGGGTAATCTTTGGCAGCGCCCCCCAGGCCGTAGTAGTAGCACAAGCCCAACTGAAATTGCCCCACAGCATTCCCTGATTCGGCAGCCCATCGGTAGCGCTGCAGAGCTGCATCGTCATTTCCGCCGCCGCCCCATTGCAGGACAAACTGCCCCGACGAGTCTGCCTGGTTTGACGGGCAGGTAGCAGGGGGCGCTTGACTGCCTTGCATTCGAGAGCCTGGCTCGGTCCCGCTCATCAATGAGACGCCATGTACTCATCCCAAGCGTTCAACGATGAAACTCCTCTGGGTGGCTCCCATGGGGGTCCGATGGTTGCTCAGAAGGAAGGCTCCAGAGCGCCAGGCCTGTGTCTTTTGGTACAATGCGCCAGATTGCCAGACTACCTCGCAACGTATTTCCTAATGGAGCGGAACAGGACTTGAATGCGTTGGCATATGTGAAATGCCCCACCAGTGCAGAAGAATTCGTGCATCGGAGGTTTGTATGCGAAACATCAGTGTCGTCATGATCAAATGTGCGGATACAATGTCAGCGTGAATACCGGCGGATCGTAACCCCCAAGGAATCCGCTCCGGTCAGACGAAGCCTCGTGGACGCTCAGACTTATGCGTCAGTTCGTCAGACGAGCCTCCAAAGCGCCAGTCCTTTCCTTATTCTCCAAGCGGGATCCAAAACAGATATAGTACACTTGCGCACAATGTCTTGCGTGCAACACCTCCTCCTTGCTTACTTATTAACCGGAGGCAATCTATTTCCCTGCACTCCAACTCGCGCAAAAAACAAGCATTGCGAGCTTAGCATGCGCACGGTACCCACAATATATGTGGGTCTAAAACTTACAGGGACACTGATTTCAGGCGTCCCGCCTTTTCAGTGTGCCGAACTTCGTCCGAGTGTTCCACACAAATGCGGCGTTGTGATTGGGCCGATGGCTTGACCGTACGGTCGATCGGAACCTACGAATTCTAGCGTAGGGCACTGAGTACTAGCCACTAGGCTACTAGCTACTAGGCTACTAGGTAGGCTACTGGGAGTCTAGGCACCCGAAATTCGAAATTTCAGTCGATCCAGTACTGTAAATTAAACTTCCTGACTAGGGTTGTCGATCAACTCATCAGAATCGAGTGTCTTGGTGGGGCACAAACATGGTCGGGACACTTGAAAGGCCCAGCGCGCTGCCAAACTCAGTTTTGTCATTTGAGACGGGCCTCGCCGTTCACAATCCAGGGTGCGCACTTCGATGCTCAGGTTGTTCGTCCGGTCTATCTGATGGAGTCATGGCTCCTAATTGTTGACTAGCACGATTGACTAGGGGTTTATTCTTGATGGCAGGGTCACACCCACTTCGAAAACGACTATACCCAAACATCATTCAATTCCCTGGACATTTCTTTGCCCCCTAGAGCTCGACCTGGGGGTGGTCACCTTATTTTTTTAACGCCTGGATTGCTTCGGTGGCGACCATTATCTCCTGGAATCATTCAGGACGGCGAACCAAATTTCGCCCGCTGCGATGTAGTGTTTTGCGAGCCGCTCTGCATAGCTTCCCGTATCACGTACTTACGCACAAAAAGCTCGGCCCTCCGCCTATCCTGCTCGGTACCTCGTCCGTACCAAAGCAGCCATGCCAACCAGAGCCGTGGTGCCAACGCCTCCGCATCTTTCGCTGCACACTGAAAAGAGCTGGAAAGCCGCAGCTCGATCCTGTTTTCCGCGAAACCTTTGGCGTATGATTCTGCCAGGTTGCCTTGCACTCACGCGTCACCCTGCTCGGCCACTTTCGCGTACATTTCGATCGCCGGCGCGTACATTTCGTCCCCCTTTGCACGCCTCTGCCACGCTTGTAGCACCGGGCCAGGCGGGAGTACGCCCCTGCTTCTTTCTGCTCGGCGGCCTTGATGTACAGCTCGACCGCCTTCGCGTCCATCTTCTCCACGCCCCCGCCCTGCGCGCAGCTCCAGCCCAGATTGGGCTGCCCCCTCGCGTTGCGCTGCTCGGTGGCCTTCCCGTACAGCTGGGCCGATTGCGCCTGGTCCTCCTCCACGCCCGTGCCGTGATCGTAACACACCCCTAGGTTGCACTGCGCCTTTGCGTCGCCCTGGTCCGCGGCCTTCGCGAACAACTCGGCAGCGCGCGCCTCGTCCGTCGCCACGCCCTTGCCGTTTTCGTAGCACACGCCCAAATTGCACTGCCCCCTTGCGTTGCGCTGCTCGGCGGTCTTCGCGTACAGATCGGCTGCGGCGCCCATCGTCCCTCTCCACTCCCACACCGTTCGCGTAGCACGCGCCCAGCGCTGCTGCGTCCCCCTGCCGACCTCGTAGCACAGCCCCAGGTTGCCTTGCGCAATCGCGTCGCCCTGCTCGGCGGCCTTCGCGTGCAGCTCGGCGGCGCGCCTCTCGCCTTTCTCCAGTTCCGTGTTAAGCAGGTAAAAAGAGCCCAGGCAGCATTTGCGCCGCCGCTATCCCCTGGTCGTCGGCCTTCGCGAACATCCCAGCAGCGCGCGTTTCGTCCTTATCCACGCTTGTGCCGTGCAAGTAGCATGCGCGAAAAAATTACACTGCCCTTTCGCGTCGCCCCGCTCGGTGGCCTTTGCGTACAGCCCGGCGGCGCGCCCCTGTTCTTCACCACGCCCCTGCCGCTCTGGTAGAATCAGGTAGCTGTGGCATCGTGTAGCCATACTGGGCAATTATCAAGAAGCGCTGTCTATAACACTCCGACATGTAAGGCTCTCAGCTGCGAGATATACAATGTGCGAATAGGGCACTATCCGCGGGATCGATATAGTAAAGCCTCTTGCAAGTGAGAAAGAAAGTGAGGCAGAAGAAAGATATCATCAAGAATCTTGCGGGAATCCGCGTCAGACTAAGGTGAGTTTTACATGGCGTCCCGTGCCCAACCAACCTCATGTGAAGCAAGTGTGTGGTATCTTCATCTTCAGTATAAACCTTCCGTCAATCCTTGCCTTTTCTTCTCTTAGTGCCCAAACAGCACGCTTCCAGGAAGACCTCTTTGGCTGATGTTTGCTATTCCGCTGCTTTCTGTAGAGATGACCAAGATGCATTGACTACTGAGCTGGGAATTCTGGGTAGAAACTTCAGCTTCCTGCGAATATCAAACAAGCGCTGCGAAAGCCAGTGAGTCGTCCATCTCACTCTAACCACTTTTACCCAAGCTTGCGTTTGTGCGCAACGGGATTGACTACCGAATGTGCATCCGTTTGCATGATTGCCTTTCTGCAAGGACCAGCATAATCTCGCTAAGCTGGAGGAGTCCGAAAATGAGCGGGGAAAGGGAAACCTTTGTGCTTGGAAGGAGAAGATTCAGGACTGACTGACAATTCTGGAAGACAATTCAGGTTCGAATCGTATTCAGCAAGCTGAGTCGGCACGATGTGTTGTTACATCCTGGTAGTCTAGTCTGTTGCGCGACGGTTTTTTGCATGAGGTGGGTTGCAACCTTGCTTAGCCAGATTGTTCACTCAGATGGCTGTCAACTCGTCTCATCCTCATAATCCGATTACATCCTGCTCATTCGAGCTTCTACATGAGGCATGTTACTATCTCGCTAATTCAGAGGTTTGCATGAGGGGGGTTGTGACCTTTGTCATGCAAGACATTGGAAGAGGTGGACAATACGCTTTGTTTACGAATGTATACGGGTTTAAGCGGCAAACTGCGGACAAATAGGGCAACCACTCACTACCCCCTAAGTCTATATCAGTGCACCCATGCATTTCACAGATCCAGGTGCTTGTAGCCAACAACCATGCTCGTAGCCTCATTCTGTCGCCCATATACCTGTGGGCAATCTATATGAAGTGATGGTCCGTATGTCGATCCGAAAGGTGTTCTAGAGAGGCCCTGACACAGTCGAGGATATAGTGCCGTCTGTGTGCCACTTTGTCACCAACCAGCAATCAAGGGGTATCAATCCAATGGCAGCCTTAGACAACAAATTCTGTGTCACTTCAAGAGGTAGATCTGAATCGACTATCCACAAAGGAGATTGAGACAGCTTTTAGCCCTGTAAGAAGCCTCGCCAGAACATTGCAAGGTCTCACACATGTAGCAAGGTACAGTCTCTTTCATTGTGCAAATCACTGATCACTTGCTGTCTCCCGCCAACTGCCTTGGCTTTTCAGAAGCTCAGAATTGGAACCAACATCAGATTCTGATCGCAGGAGCGGTTGCTGCAGATCCAACACAAAACTCTGCACAGGAGCAATATCATATCATATCTTTTCTTTCAATAACAAGTTGAGCTCTGATTATGGCAGCCTTCTGCTGATCTGCACGTTGCCATGGTAGTCACGGTTAATGCCCCTGGATCGCGCTCAGTGCTATCTTGCGGAAGTCAGTTCTAAGGAAAGCTGATTTCTCACCTCACCATTCAGATCCGTTGTATGTCGCATTTTGGTGCTCTTCTTCTCTTGGTAAGATGCGATTGTGGCGACTTTTTTGGCTGCTTCTCTTTTGCTGCTCGCTTCTCGTGACTTTCTCTTCCGGTTTCTTATCGATGCATTATCCTCTGGACTGATCCCCTTCGGAAGAGTGATTTGTGTTGCCTCATCCCCTTGCTGGACCCTATTGTGACATTGAAGCTTACCAGCTTGCCCAGCATCCCCGGCCAGCACTGTAACGTCTTCGGACAGCCCTCCGCTACAGTCGGCCTGTATTAGATTTGTGTCCCCCTTCTGTTGCACCATGAAGTCCCCCAGCTCGCCCAAGCAGCCGTCTACTTGAAGCTCGTCCAGCATTGTGTCAACCATCACACCCAGCGGGACGGACGATGGGGACTCGTCCTGAAGTCGACGAGGCCCTGATCTGCTATCCGAAGTCATCCTGGGCCGCCAGCTGCTTCTCCCTTTGTATTGCCACCACACCTGGCAATTCATAGAGTAAACCCCGAACGGCTCCTTCAAGCCTCCAAGGTGGAAGTCTGGAGAGAAACGCAAGTGGGAACGCAGTAACTTGTGGCCCACTACTAGGAGTGCCCGTCTTCCGAGTAACGTACCGAAGCCTTGTTAAGGTGCCATTACGGGCCAGTCTGAATTGATGTGTTACTTCCGACCAGAAGTACTTTTATTTACGAATGAGGCCAAGAGTGTTCAGATGCGTGCCCTCACCGCTTTCGAAGCCCAGTCTGGTTGCACGGATTCCAACTTTTCAGAGCGCAAATCTCATTTCGCCATGCATGCATCTCCCAGTCTCTTGCATGCTAACGTGCATGCTTAGCTTCCCGTACGGAACTCGCCAAAAACCATGGTGATTCTGGAATGTTTGGTTCACGAAGACTTCGGACTGTACGACTGTGGATATGAACGGTGGTGGATGCTCGCCCTTAAAGTCGGGCTTCTGTACGGTCAAGAACATACCGTACGGTATTTGCGACCTCTCGTCCAAAACAATTTCCTGATGTGTCAGAAAAGTTACTTCGCAACAGATCTCAAATCGATTCTTCTTACTACCCATTCTGAGCAGGGGGCAAATCGATGCGGCGAAAAGAAATGCTTCCGACCCCTGACGTTACTGTGCCATGTTCAGATCCATGTCAGCACTACGTGGTTCAGTCCGCCGCAGTCTGTCACTGGTTTTGGGATAGGTGTCGGAATCACGAAACTTTCGGACGGTACGACAGCGGGTATGAATATTCGCGACCTTGCGGAGAACGCGATTCTTGCTGTGTCAGGAAAGTGACTTCACGATCGATCTCAGATTCTTTGTTTTAAAGCCTTTTCCCATTCTGAGCAGGCGCAAAGAAATGCTTCCGACCCCTGACGCAAACATTACTGTACCAGGTCAGCACCATGTCAGCACTACGTGGTTCGGTCCGCCGCAGTCTGTCAAGTTGTCAGTCATACGCTGAAGGTTTCGGACTTTGTATCACCATCCAAGTCGACGCAACGGAATCACATGATGGTGAAGTGTTGCAGCTGTAGATATTCCCGCCCGAACCCCTTCAGTAGGACTGCAAGGCACTTTCGAATAAGGAGCGAGATCTTCACAGCTCATGTTCACAGCTCTCTCATTCCATGTGACTCGGCCACAATGCGGTGACAAGCATTCGGACTAATTGAATATTAAGATGCGAAGCACAGTAAGCATAGTGAGCACAGTAAGCCGAATGGTGCTAAGCTCATAGATGGATTGGAAAGGATGCCCCTTCTCACTTTAAGGTGCAAGTTTTGAGTCTTTTAGCGAGGTCTTGAAGAGAAGCAGAAGATGATGAATCGGCGGGCCACCCAACAATCTACCTCTGACACCAGGCTTGGTATTGCCGAAGATGAGGCTGCTAAGCACTCTGTGCGCTCCGTAAGCAGCGCATCCTTCTAAAATCTGTCATATCCGTTCTATTCGAGGATGAATTCTTGGCTGGCCTTTCTTGAGCATTCATTTCAAGTGTGTCCTTTTGCAGGACAAGTTATTGAACAGAATGGCTATTTTCTTCCGCAGTCTCCGGCACTTTTGACAATTGTGGTTATCATTCTGTGTGGCTGCGGGACATATGGGTCACTGGTTCTCCTACTGCGGAATCTTCCATTCCATCCTAGTTCTGCAGATCCTGCCTGGCCTGCACATGAGGTGAGTCTTTTGCGGTAAACAATCTCTTCTCAGGAATAGCTGGCATGAGCAGGCAAACTCTTGTATGCAAACAAGGTGCTCAATAGCCCACAAGTGTCCTTTGTCATTCTATGGCCAGCTTGTCCCCATCTTGATGTCACGATTCCCTTCAAAACCCCATTGTGCCAGAAATCTTTGGCTATCCCTTGGATGGCAAGCACTTCAAAATCAAACACAGATTCCAAGGATTAACATGGTCCTGAGACGTACTGTTCAATATTGATTGTATTTGTGCTGAGTTCAGTCCCTTGCCCTTGAGTTCAGCCCTTCCTGTTGAAACCAAGACCCCACCGTGCAAGAATGGGATCACGATTTCACTTTTGTGGAAAGGTGCCAAATCTGGATGATGACAGATTTGTTTTACCCCAGGAAGAGCAATGCCGGTACGTGCTACATGTCATCAAGCTTGAAAAGAGTTCCCACTATAGAGTTTAATGAAGGCTCCTGTACTGGGATACGCTTTGAACAGCCCTAGCCCTCCCATAAATAGTTGACACGTGGATGGCACCATGCGTTGGATGGACTTGATACTTTGAAGAGTTATTGAAATAAAACAGGCCTTTCCTTTTTTTCTAACAAAAGCTGTCTTCCACTGTCTGCACCTGCTTTTACATCTGCCAATAGGTTGAAGTTTCACATCTTGAAACGTATACTTGGAAGCCAAACGTGACACTTCGCTCTTTCGAATGCAGGTTGGATTGAATGTGTTCGCTTGCTCATTGACCTTGTTTAGTTTGTCGCTTCTCTGTCGTGTGGACAGACACAAGCAGATTGTCATGAGTCTGCCTTTTCACCTTGCACACTTTTCAACCTTGCCTCCAAATCGTTTCACGATTGACATGATGGAACATTCTCCTCACTATTGCCAATTGAGCATATTGTCTCGTGTTTCGTTGCAAGGCAATTGTACCTCAGTGAAACACGTGTCTGGTACCTTGGAAGCTTGTGTGCCTTCGTATGAGGATCCACTTGGCCAGTACTCAGACGCGTCCCTGTTTCTTTGCGTTGCATTGGGAGTAGCTAGATTTTCCAATGCAATGTTGCGAGTCAATAAGGAATTGCAAAGGTGTGCCAGGCAAGATGTCTCTTAGAACAATAAGTCACAAACTCCTCATGCAGGCTCTCCTCATCACTTACGACAATGTTCTCGCCTTTCTTTCCTACCTTCTACAACATTTCAAAGCTGTCCCAGTGCTCTTGGACTGCTTTGGGCGACCTGCATATCCGATCCGCTACATAATGTGGTCTCACACCATTCCGACAATGATCTATCTGATCGGTCTGATCTCCAACTACAACCCCCAAAAGGTGAGTCGAAAGCCTGCATAACCTGAAAGAAGCCCTTATTTGGAACTTCATTGGATGATCAGTCAACAGTGTGGTTCCGGATAGTATAACAGTCCTTCTGCTTTAAAGGTTTCGATTATATCCTACAAAGAATGCAATCCAAGATGATGTCCTCCTCATGCTACAGGTGGCTTACACAATGTATGGCAGCATTGTCATGCTTGCCACAGGTATGGTGGCAACATACTGTCCATCGAACATATGTATGCTCATATCGATATCCCTCTCTGTGAGCTCGTTCGTGGCCACTGTAACGTCGATGTGGTTTATGCTGGTGTCAGCACAAAAATTGGTGAGTCATCCTTGGCGCATTCCATTTCTCTTTGAAGTATTCTGCAATGTTGTTTGCTGTTCGGGCCGAGATATGCACGATGAGATTGAGCATTGGAATCAGCAAGCCTTTGCAACTTCCATTTTGCTTCTTGCTTGCAGAGTCATTGTCATACGACTTACTTCGCAGCTAGTTGACCTTACCTCCCTCTGAGATTGTAGGCACAAACATTGACCCCTCGGAGGACTTGGCCAAAGCTCCTTCAGTGCCTCCAATATCTATTTGCAACTACATGGACCGTCTTCCCAACGGTTTGGTTTCTGGGAGCCCTGAAACTGGTGACCATGCAAACGGAGGGTTATTTGTATCTTCTTGCTGACGTCTCTGCCAAGGTGAGAAGACCTCCTGATTGGGCGATTGGTGTAAGAACGGCACTCGTGGCCAGTGCTTCAACACTGCTTGAATGCAGTGAAAATATGTGGTAGGTTGAAAAGGATGCCATGTTCTAACAACGCAAGAATAAATTATATATTACCAGTCAAGCCTCTCTCTCCCTCTCTCCCTCTCTCCTTCACGTCCTGTTCTCTGCACTTCTGCTGGAAAGCAACTTCATGTCTATTGAAGAGGCCAAGCGCATATATATTACCACTCAAGCCTCTCTCTCCCTCTCTCCTGTTTCAGATCCTGTTCTCTGCACTTCTGCTGGAAAGCAACTTCATGTGTATTGAAGAGGCCCAGCGCATCGCACAAGAGAAGCGGAAGAGGGACGTACAGATTGTCCGCAGCATAACCGATGAAAAGCGCATGGAGGCAGAGCTCCTTTACAGCTCGGGTACATACCAGGATCTCACGGACGTCAGCTACTCGGCACCGTACGGCAAGAGTTCGGTGCCTACGTAAGATATGCAGGGTGTGCAAAAATGGTCTGTGCGGCAGAATTGCTGGTCTTCGCTGACCGTCCGTACGATTGAAGCCGTACATATCGAAGCCGTACATACCGGTGCGCAGATTATGGGACGGTCGCAGGATCGGAAGGCGAACGGTCGCGGACTGCAATTCTCGGACCTCGAAAACTCGGGCAGAAAGCACAAAAACAGTTCCCCACACGGACATATCGCGGACGATCGAAGGATATGATCGAAGCTCGTTTCAGAAAGGGGCTTTGCAGGAGGGGGCTGAAAAGGAGAGGCGCTACCCAAGCACACGCAGAAGGGGGGAGAAGCGCCTTGCTCTCATTTAGGTGAGCATCTTCACTAAGATGTCTATGGGCGTCCCTTCCTAATTGGTAGGCTAGATGATGTTATCGGAGCGGTATTGTACTTGCTGATGTTAGGCAGATCGCAAAACGCCTATGATTTGCGTCTGAGTACTAGGTCTGGCCTGCTTTCAGGAGGTGCTAGATATGTCGGGTCACTTCAAATTACCGATTCAGGGGGATGTTTCGGGCAACCCTAAGTCTCGTTTGACTGCTGATGTCTTGGGGTTCATTTGAAACCGTGATTGAGCTCAAGCGGGCCACTTCAGCCCATGGATCCTGGAATCCCAATACAACCGCGCTCGGCGCTGACAGAGACAACCCTCCGACCACTGCGTATCCTTGTTGCAGGAAGGTTGGGATGGCGAGAGAGGGCGCCTGGCCTCGGCGAGAGCCGATTTTGGCCTCTTACGACATTTCCGACGTGATCGAGTACCTGGAGACGTCCTTGGAGGCTCTGACGGCTCTCGTCCGGTTGTTAGAGCGTTCGTCGGGTGGTCCGGAGATCGCGATACCCGAGGGTCCTTCGGTCCGTAGGGAGTGGATCGAGGGTCTTCCGGCTCAGCTCGCGACCCAAGCCGACTGGGTAAGAGCGTCGGTCGCCTACGTGCAGCTTCTGGAGAGCTTGGAGGATTTCGCTGGGCCTTTCGGGGAGTTCCTGCGAAGGGCGGCTGAGCTGGGGAGCATACCTCACGTCGACATCGAGTTCGATGAGTGGGTCTTGAAGTGCATCATGCTGTGGCTGAGAAAATCTGGGGTGCCCATCGTGAGGGAGGTCGGAAGTAACTTTAAGGTGGAGCTCGGTGGTGGAGCACGGCGGTCCATGGTGGTGGCAGTGGTTCTTCTTCAGGGTTGTAGAGATCGCCTAGCCAAGGATGAGTGCTAGCCAGAGATCGCCTCGACGACCTCAGTGCTCCTCGATCGCTTGCTTGAGAGACGAGTATTTGCGCGAGCGTCTTCTCGCATGAGACGTCGGTAAGGGGAGCCTCTTCTAAACCGTCGTCAAACTGAAACCAGCGTGGTGCTCACCAAGCATTTATTGTCACCTCGCCCAGCCTTGGTCAGGCTAGCGTGACGACCATCACTATTTGCCATCGGAAGATGTGCGCTCGGAGAACCAAACCATGTATCGGTTCAAGAACGTGCCATGTCAGTGTCTCTGCATGTGTTCACGTGGGTCTCCCCAGGATGCGGCACGGCATGGTCGTGTATGACGCCTAAAGGCCATGTACTCGATGGGCTTGCCACTCACTACAAATGCTAGCAGCCACGCTGCTTGCCAAGGTCACATGGAATGCGTGGAGTGGCCCTTCTTCTCAATAATTTCTGTCCTATGGATACAAGCGCATGCTCGATGGCTACATTTACATCCATTTTCAGATGCTGAAGTAATATGGAAACGTTCAAGATCGGCGGCGTGCGCCTCGTCCTTCTCCACGCCCCTGCCGTTCTCGTAGCACCAGCCCAGACAGCACTGCGCCCTCGCGTCGCCTTGTGCAGCGGCCTTCGCGTACAGCTCGGTGGCGCGCGCCTCGTCCTCCTCGACGCCTTTGCCGAGCTCGAAGCACACGCCCAGGTTGCACTGCGCCGCCGCGTCGCCCTTTGCTGCCCACCAGTACCGACTGGCACCTCGGAGGGCCTCGCATCCAGTCATCTCCAAGATTATGACACCCGTCAGCGCCCCGACCGACTCGGGCAGGCTCTGCAGCGCCTTGCACCGGCTCAGGTCCAGGTTCGTGAGCCCCGTCAGCGACCCGACCGCATCGGGCAGGCTCTGCAGCGCCCCGCACCGGCTCAGGACGAGGCTCGTGAGCCCCGTCAGCGCCCCGACCGAC